TGATACACTTAAACTGGTGGAAACCTGCCTGAATACCTCACCCAGCCCCTCCATCACCCTCTATTATGCAAGCTGCAACATTTCAAGCCAACTCCCTTATTTCTCTGGTGAGCCCTGTCAACACTGAGGTAATAGAACTGAAAAAACTCATCACTTCACAAGGATAGTCAAATATCAGAATTTATTTCATTTGGTAAAAATTCTATCATTGCCAAATAAAACTAATATAAATATGGTAAAATATGCATGATTTTGAGTAATTCTTTTGTTGAAAAGGACTCTTGGGGAGCCTCAACTTCATCCTGCAACAGCTTAGGCATTCTTCTGCCCCTTTGCCCTTTTCATGCCCCATCTCACAAGTCATGGAAGCTGAGGAGGGGAGGGTGCAGAAAACCAGAATGAACTAATCAGCATGTATTTATGGATTTAGTCTACTCTAATCTTATTCCCATACTCTGCTCCTCATACTCTGCTCCTCTAGGTAAAGAACTGTTTTATTCATCTCTGAACTTCCAACACCTAACCAAATGCCCAGCATATAAAGTCATCCCTAACATCTACTGCACAGCAGGCACTGGATTAGGGACTAGAGATAGAGAAGTTAAAGAGATAGACCTTGCCCCTATGGAACCTACAGTGGCAGAATGGGCAGGGGAATACCAGATACTGGCTGCATGAACCCAGTCAGGTACATAATGAAAGACCAGTTAGCACAGTCCCACTGCCTATAATCTTTCTCCCACAGCCAACCAAAGCTTAGATGAAAAATAAAAGCAGGCTTTCTCTTCAGAAAAATAAATGGGTATCTGCAACCCTGACCTTCCCCTGAGTTCCAAATTCACAGGCATGCATACTCAACATGTCCACTCGGAGGTGGTTACAGGGATTCAATGCATGGACTCCAAAGCCACACTGCTTAGGTTTGAATCCGAGCTACATCACTCACAATCTGGGTGACTTCAGACAAGTCACTTATAACCTCTTTTTGCCTCTATTTTCTCATGTGTAAAATGGGGACAATAATGGTTGCTTGCACATATAATTCTTATGATGATTAAATGAATTAATATAGGTAAAAGTAGTTAAAACCCTGCCTGGGACTCGGTTTACACTTACATAGTACTTACTATTTTCACTAGCACTGTTGTTATGACTACGTCTAACAGGCATTTAGAACTTGTGCAAAACTAAATTTGTAATTTTCCTCAGTAAACAGCACCACTATACTTCCAGTTGTTCCAGGCTAACCCTAAGAAATCACCACTTCTCCCTTTTCCTCAAATTCCACATCAGCTCATCCCGTCCGCTCTACCTTCAAAACGCATCATCAGTTCTACCGCCGACCATCATCTCCACAACCACCTATCCCAGCCCAAACCACCATCATCTCACCCGCAGGGCACAGCAGCTTTCCCCCATTTTCACTCCACCCCACCCACTCTAATCTACAGTTAATTCTCCATATAATAAAACTTAAATCAGACACCAGTCCCTTGATGCAAACCTTCCAGTGGTTTTCCACCACAGTTAGAATAACACCTTTACTTCACCACAGCCTACAAGGGACCCCACGGCCTGCCTTGGCCCTTGACCATCATTGGCCACCACTTTCCCCCTTCCCTGCTGTACTCTAAACACTCTCGCTGTGTCTGGGCCACCTCAGAGCATTGTCCTGTGCTGTTCCTGCTGTGAGGCCAAAACTACAGTAACCTGGAGCCTGGACTCTGACGTCAGACCACCCACGTTCAAATAGTCTCTACAGCGTTTTAGCTGTGCAACCTTTGGCAAATTCTTAACCTTTCTGTGTGTCAGTTGCCTCATCTATGAAATGGAGATATTAGATTATACCATGAGACTTGTAAAACTCTAATTTAGTGTTCACAATAGTGCCTTACATATGGTAAGCTCTACTTTTTTTAAGTGTTCATTGCTATTATTATTCCTCTCTGAAACCTTCTAACCTCAGGCTTTTTCCCTCACACTTCAATTGATTCAACTGTCCCTGCATTTGAATGGCTCTTCCTGACATCCTACCAAAAACAACTTTCCCTGTTCCCCCACTGTCCTCCTCTCTTCTTCCTCCCCTTCACTGCACTTAGGACTATCTGAAATTACATTATGCACGTATTGTTCATTTATTTCCCACTGCAACATGAGCCCTGCTAGGCTGGAGGCTGTCTTCTTTACTGCTCTATTTCTAGAGATTTCTGACTCACATCTCATCCAGGCTAGGCGACCAATGCAAATCTCCTAATAACAATAGCACACTTAGAAAGCCTTTCATTTACACACTCGTGATCTCATTCGATCCTGGAAAAACCAGCAGCAGATATACCATCAGCTCTCATTTTAGATAAGAAAAACACAGTTCCAAGTTTGGGTGACTTGTCCTTGGATGCGAAGCTAGTTAACGAATAGAACAAAAATTAGAAGCCCTGCTTTCTGATTCAAAGGCTCCTCTCACCCGGATGAAAGGATATCACACTCCTGAAACGAATTTACAGAAATGTGAACTCTCGAGCTCCTGTATAAATACACCCTGAAGTGTGCACAGTATTCTTCCCTTCAAAGTTCCTGACAAATACTAGTCCCGGAGTTTGAGAGGCATCATAGTCTAGAAACAACTAATCGATAATGTACTACCCCTTGACCAAAATATTCAAGCAGTCGGATACGATGATTGGATATTCTCATTCTTTTAATTTTTTACAGCAATCCTTAAAACTCAGTGAGTCTATGTTGTGTATAATGTGCTAGTTCCAGCATACTGAAAGCTTCCTCTGCAAAACCCAGACAACGGGGGCATTGTAATTGTCAAGAGTACCATGCTAACGATACCTGTTATTTCTTGGGATCCTCATTCTATCAAGTTTAGTGACAACAGTTCATATCACCCAACAGGCTGCAGTGTGGTATAGGATCAGATGGATGGAAGGTTGTCGGGGGTAGGCAAAATAGTGAAAAACTTCCCCGTCTACAAGATTCCTGGTCAAATGGCCAGCGGCTACCACATTCCTCAGAATAACCAAGTGTCTGTGTATAAGCTTTCTCCTAGCAAATTTACACACTTGTGTTATCTCACGTGTTCCTAGTGCTGTGGGAACGACCATTAGGGAGGCCAGAGGCTGCTGTACCTCCATTTTACACAAAAAGAAAACTAAGGCAGCAAGTGGTTATCTTATAAATGTGTCCACGACGACTTGGTCACTTGCGAGATCCCAACGGCCAGGACATAGGATTCCTAGTCTCTGAGAGGAATCCTCCATCCCCGACTTCACGTGTCAAACTCCAGGGCTGAGAGGGAGAAGAGGAATCTAAGTCCCTTTATCACAGAAGAAAAAAAGGTACTCTCCATTTGGACTTTCCGCCCCTTCTAATGCCTTGCTCCCAGGCTCGGGGACGCTCCCCGCCCCAGGGGAAAAGGTGCTAGCCCTGCCCCACGGGGCGCGGCCTCGCCTCCCGCACCCCAGATCCCTCCCGCCCAGCAGGGCGCGCTGCCACTCTGAGCAGGCACCTGTCCCTTCGTCACAATCGGCGGCTACCCAAGGAACTGACGCCCCTACAGCCACCACCACCGCCGGGGCTGCCAGCTGCCAGCGGGCCCCGCAAGCCCAAGGAGCTGCAGGAATCCTCGTAAACTTACAGTTTTCCTACAGCGTGCGCGTCACGGCGGGGTGACGTCACGGGCCCAGCGTTCGGGGAGGTCAGGCCAGCCGGCGCGGGCCACTGGGCCCCCAGGCTCCGCCCTCGCCCCGCCCACGGCGCTGCGGCAGGAGACACGCCCCCGAGCTCCACGCCCCCGACCTCCACGCACCGCCCCGTCGCGGACACCGCGCGCGGGCGCAAAAGGCCTCAGAACCCGCATGCCAGTGGGCTTCTCCGGCCGGGGCGCCTGCGGCGGCCTCTCCTCTACCAAAGCCTCACTCAAAGCCCGAAGCCGGGGTTAGCGTAGGAGGAGGGGCCGAAAAAAGGGGACGGAGACCTTCAGAAATACTGTAAACAAGCTGTCGCCCTGGGGGCTGGAATAGGACGCCTGGGTTGTGAGGTAGTTTTTCCACAGACATTGCCCGCCTTCCTCACGTGTTCGTTAAAAGTTCTCCACGTGTGGAAACAGCCATTTGCTCTCCATCAGGTGCAGGCCGTTCCTCAGCCCTGAGAAGACAGCTCTCCCAGGGGTCTTCGCTCCGCCCCGGCTCGACGCGGCTCCCGGTAGACTCCGCCCAGACCCCGCCCATCTCTTGACTCGGCCCCGCCCACGCCTGGTTAGGCCCTGCCCCCTGGGTCCCGCCCTTCCGGCTCCGGCTCGTGGCTCCCGCGGGCCCCCACCTACCCCTCCTGCCCTGGTGCCGCCTCCAGCCCAGCCCGTTCCTTGCAGATTTCAGCTTCTGCCTGGCCTGCCGGATTTCCCGTTTCGGCTGGGTGAAGCTACTCACGGGTTGCTGTTCACCTCCATTAAGTTTAACAAACGGTGATCCGGATAAACATGTTCACTTCTTCGCCAGGACAAACTTTCCAGCCCCCCCCATCCAGTCATCTCACGATACCTTCCCGTGTCCACGCCCCACTCTCTGCTCCCCACTTTTTTGTTTGTTTGAGACGAGTGTTTCTGTCTCCCAGGCTGGAGTGCAGTGGCGCGATCTCGACTCATTGCACCCTCCGCCTCCCGGGTTCAAGCGATTCTCCTGCCTCAGCCTCCTGGGTAGCTGGGATTACAGGCGCGCGCCACCGCAGCCGGCTAATTTTTTTTTTTTTTTTTTTGAGACGGGGTCTCGCTTTGTTGCCCAGGCTGGAGCGCAGTGGCGCGATCTTGGCTCAGTGCCAGCTCCGTCTCCCGGGTTCACTCCATTCACCTGCCCCAGCCTCCTGAGTAGCTGAGACTACAGGCGCCCGCCACCACACCCGGCTCATTTTTTGTTTTTTTAGTAAAGACAGGGTTTCACCGTGTTAGCCAGGATGGTCTCCATTTCTTGACCTCGTGATCCGCCCGCCTCGGCCTCCCGAAGTGCTGGGATTACAGGTGTGAGCCACCGCGCCCGGCCTCTTTGCTCTTTTATGCCCTCAGAAACAGAGTTCTGGTTAAAAAAGGGGGCTCAATAGACGGAAAAGATGAAGGCTCAAAGAACTGACAACAAAATATTAACATTTGGCTTCTGAAATTCTTACACTCTCATAAGCAGAAAAAACAAATGCTATGGTAAAAAAGTGGCTCACACAAATCTGTCTTGGGGAAAAAAAAAAAAAAATGAGAAAAACAGGCTTCGGAATAAATAGACCCAAAGGAGGAAGTATTGAAAATGGCAAGATTCACTTTTGTAAACTTATTTGGAACCACGGCAGATGGCCAGGGCAGGGATTTTGCAAGGCAGCTCCAGTTGTAAGTAAAACCTGAAACAATGGTTTGTTTACACTCTCATTGAAAACGCTGTCGTATTTTTATAGGAAAGAGTGATGACGGGAATATTGGGTTTTAATTCGAGATCTGAGCTGGTTAAAAATAAAAACGTTTATTGTTCCAGAAAAATCTACGTGTTTTTAAATGTTCTGATTTGAAAAAATATTTGCATATTTTATCTGAATATTAAATAGTTTTAATCATTATCAAATGATGTAAGAGGAATTTGTAAAGGCTGTACATAATTGTAACAATGTTTTTCTGTAGAGCAGAGGTATAGAAAAATTAACGTTTTTTAAAGTTCTGCATATTTTTAAAACAGTGATATTTATGTTTTTCCTTGCAAAACAATTTTGAGAAACCTTTAAATTGTTAATTTCATAGTTTACATGCTTACAAAATGTTTTATATATATCATTTCTAAAAATCGTAATTTTTTTTGAGTTGCTAGGTATACCTTATGGGAGTATTTCACAGGTACATGTCATCTGTTATTTTTTGGAGTGGAAATAGGTAAGAAGCATACACCAAATGTATTAAATGTTTTTCCTATAGAATACTTTTCCCTCTGAAAGATGGCATTGTAGAATATAGTCTTCTCATCGTATTGTTCAATATACTTTCTCTTGAAATCCCAGGTATTAAAAAAAAAAAACAAAAAATGTTGTTTTGCCAGATGCAGGAAAAAAGTAAACGCAGTGAACAGAAGATAGCCAACATTAAAGGTACCCAAGCAAGGATCACAACCTCAAGGAATGTCAAGTAGAAATTTGTGGGAAAATACACACTCACGTTCAGTCAAGTTTCTATAACAAACTGGAATTTGACCTAGACAGGAAGCGAGAAGCTAGGGCCAAAAGTGTCGTTATTAAAGAGAGGAACTGCTTTCTTTAAGAAAATAAAACCTCGGACCTTGGAGGTTTAGCACTGGAAGGACTGAGGCCCTCCGCTATGACCCTTGGGCTTTCAGTTTCCCCTTGTGATTCTTTCTCTTTGATATCTGCTGCCTGTAGCAATCTGGCTTCCAGAGCCCTCTATGTCAATACACACATCTCTTCCCTTGGTCCTACTTAGCAAGCTAGGAAAAGCTGAATTAAGACAAAACAGAGTACTTAATATTTGGGGAAAATAAAAGGGAAAGAAATATAATTGCTAATATTTCCTGAATGTCGATTCTGTGCCAAGCACTGCATTATTTCCTTGAATTTTTGCAACTAGATAAGAACTGTTGTTATCCCCATTTTAAACACAAGGTAAGTAGGTCAAGTGCCCATGTCACACAGCTGTTGAGTAACACAGTCAAGATTCCAGACTTCATACTTCAGAACCCACAGCCATAACCACTCATCTGTCTCAAGTTTCATACAACCAGGCACAAATTATGTAAGAAACAGAGGGGATTAGGAAGTCCAAAATATGGACTTAGCTCCAAAATACTGACCACAGTGTATGGGTATCTTCTTCGCTGTTTCTCATCCCATCTTTGCATGACTGCTTCTATTTGATTTTTTAAGGTGGTCATCATGACCCACTAAGTTGATTTTGTGATCCATTAAAGGATCTGAAAAACACTGATCAGAATCCAAAATACAAAATATCAGATCGTATCACATGTAATAAGGGTATTTTTTCCCAAAACACAAATTAGGGGAACGTTCAGCCACATGAGTATATTCTGGGTTGCAACGTTAAATGTATTTCATACTATGGATCTCAATCAACAAAAATTGAAAAACACTTTTTTAACCACCCCTTGCCTAACTAACATGTATCATTTATCCTTCAGGATCAAGACCAAGGGAAACAAAATCCCATTCTGCAATCCCCTTACATCCGTCTCTAAGCCCCAGGATCTGGTTTGATGATCTCTTCCCAGGTAATTGACATAAAAATCAGGTCACTCGTGATTAGAGATAGGCCCTTATCTCCAGCTCAAACTCAGGAATATACTAATAACAATAAAATACCATTTATAAAACAGAGTCACACAGGTTAAAAGGGGGCTTATTCTGCCAAAGGAGCGGAGATAGAGACTTTGCTGGAAGAAGACCCGGAAGAGAAATTGGAGAGCTCTGGAGGGATGTCTGTTTAATAACAGTCTTACAAGTCTGCAGTTACACAGTTCGCACAGTATTTCATATCATTTTATCATCTCTCTTCCACCATCATTTTACTTAGCTAATTCTCCCCAATCCTTTAGGTCTCTACTTTGCAGGAACTGACTCTGAGAAGCCTTCCCTAAGCAGCTTTTGCTCTCTGCATTGCAAATTATTTTAATTGCTTCTGCTAGACTGTAAGCTCTGTGAGAATAGGGGAAATGTGAGTCTTAATCTCGAATCCTCTACATGTAGTACCCCAAATAGGTTATCAGTTAATATGTGTAGATGAATGCATGGTGAATGGATGGATGAACTCAAATTCAAAGACTGGGTAGCTTTCTTACTCAAGATGCTAGTTGCTTTTTACAAAGGGGACACTGTCAATAGGAATAATTCTGATGAGAAAATTCCTTTAGGAGACAAGACATTTTGAATGGCAATGCAGCATAACATAGTAAAGCACTGAACAGGGCCAGCTCTTGTTATTAACTAATTAACTGGGTACTTTAGTGCAAGTCCAGTAACTTCTGCAAGCCTCAAATGGAGTTAGACATACTAAATATTATTATTATTATTATTTTGAGATAGGCTCTTGCTCTCTTGCCCAGGGTGGAGTAAAATGGCAAGACCATAGCTCACTATAACATTGAACTCCTAGGCTCAAGGGATTCTCCCACCTCAGCCTTCTGAGTAGCTGGGACTACAGGCACACACAACCACATCTGGTTATTTTTACTTTTCATAGAGATGGGTTCTAGCTATGTTGCCCAGACTGGTCTCGAACTCCTAGCCTCAAGCAATCCTGTCGCCTCAGGCTCCCGGAGTGCTGGGATTACAGGCCTGAGTCACTGCTCTGGACCTCACTAAATGTTATCTTTGATGAATGTCCTAACAGGATGTTACCCCTCTGGTAAATCTGGGAAATCAGGACAGGCCACCTGGAGCCTTATTTACATGAGGTCCTCTGAAAGACACTGACAGGCACTGGGGGATAGCAATTAAGTCTCTTAAACAAAGGATGTTAGACAAAGGCTGTCCCCAACAAGAAGAGGTGGAGGGAAGCGAGAAGGGAAATGGAAAGACAAGGAACTTGTGTCCTTGTTCTGAGAAGCCCAGTTCTTGATTGAGTACAGGGCCTGGTGCATGCTTCTGACTGTAAAACCGAAAGAACCAAACTGTCCTTGTGGGTGTATTGGGATTGGGGAACAGGGAAGAAGGTACAGGAGAAAAGATATCAAAAAGATTTCCAGCCGGGCACAGTGGTCATGCCTGTAATCCCAGCACTTTGAGAGTCCTAGGTGGGCAGATAACTTGAGCCCAGGAGTTCAAGACCAGCCTGGCAAACCCCATCTCTATAAAAAATACAAAAATTAGCTGGGCATGATGGTGTGCACCTGTGGTCCCAGTTACTTGGAAGGCTGAGGCAGGAGGATCACTTGAGCCTGGGAAGGTTGAAGCTGCAGTGAGCCGTAATAATTATGCCACTGTACTCCAGCCTGGGTGACAGAGTGAGACCTTGTCTCAAAAAAAAAAAAAAAAAAAAAAAAAAAAAAATTCCTCAAGGGAAAAAAAACTCGCCAACTACATCAAGACATCATAGCAGACAGGCAGAATGTTCCAGAAACAGTCCTTTAGGCATTCTGTTCTTCCCTGGAATCTGCTTGCTTTCTTAGCCCTTGGAGAAGGTCTACTGATTCTTGGAGTTCAAATTCTATCATTAATTACCTCTGCTGATAACAGCCAACCTTAACTAAGCAGGTATTAGATCTAAGACATCACAGAGCACTCCATATGAAATATTTTAATCTTCACAACTCTATGAGGTAGCTACTGTTTTTATCTTATTTTACAGATGAGGGAAAAAAGTGAGATTGAGCAACTAGCCATGGGTCACTGCTATGGACTGAATGGTGTCTTTTCTGCCCCCAACCCCCCAGTTTGTGTATTGAAGTCCTAGCTCCCAGTGCGACTGTATTTGGAGATAGAGATTTTAGAAGGTCCTATGCTTTAGATATTGGTGTCCCCTCACAAATTGGTGTTGAAACTTAATCACCAATGTAATAGCATTAAGAGGAGCCGCCTTTAGGAGATGATTAAGTCATGAGGGTGGAGCCCTTGTGAATGGGGTTAGGTGGTTTATCAAAAGGCATGATAGAGGGAGTTCATCCCTTCTTGTCTGCCATGTGAGGACAGTGTGTCTCCCCTCTGGAGGATGCAACATCATGGCACCATCTTGGAAGCAGAGAGCAGCCCTCACCAGACAAGCCGGTCTGCTGCTGCCTTGATCTTAGACTTTCCAGCCTCCAGAACTATGTCTAAATAAATTTGTTTTTTATAAATTACCTGTGGTATTTTATTATAGTAAGACAAATGAACTAAGGAGGTAAGATTAAATAAGGTCATAAGGACGAGGCCCTAATCCAATAGGACTGGTGTTCTTATAATAGAAAGAGGAAGCAGAGTTCTCTCTCGCCACAATGTGAGGACACAGTGAGAAGGCACTCATCTGCAAGCCAGGAAGAAGGCCTTCAGCAAGGAACCAAATCTGCAAGATCTTGATTGATATTGAAGTTTTCAGCCTCTAGAACTGTAAGAAAACAAATTTCCATTGTTTAAGCCTCAGCCCAAGCATACTAAGATAATTACATTGCTTAAAGTAATCTGACTCCCCCTTACAAACTTTACTGTATCTCCCTGATTTGCCCAGATGGTCAGATCATTTCTTCTCCCTGTTCTTCAACACAACTTCTCCTATAACACATACAGTATCTATTCATTTAAACAACTTCTCCTATAACACATACAGTATCTATTCATTTAAACACACTTATTTTTTTAACATTGAAATATCTCTAAAATTAGAATTCATCTTAAAATTGAAGAATATCATAGTTTAGGAGGTACAAAAAATAATGGTTTCTTATAATCGGTGGCACCTTAGATTGAATAACACATATTATAATTGTTTAAGCTTCTTTTGCCCCCGCTCAGCTATGAATCCTTTGAGGACAGACACCAATTTACTCAACTTTGTGTCCTTAATACCAAGCACAATTTCTGGCACCAAAAAAGGAATTTTACAAATTTCTTTAATCCAGTTAAAGAAGGAAGGTCATCCACGCAATGGAGTGACAGGTGGGTAGAACCTAGGAGTCAAGAGTCGGTACCAAGACCCTAATGGCCAATGAAGACGAAGTCGCAACTTCTCTGAAGTTTATCCCAGTTAATTCTATCTGCCTCTAAAGGCCTATGATTGCTCCCCTTGGCAATTAATTCAGCATGTTCCTTCTATGCTTGACAAATTGTCATTTATTTTCCATCCTTCATGTTTGGTTCAGGCCATTTTTAATCTGTTAAGACAGTTATATGAAGGACAAATTAAAGTAAAATTTTAAAATCTGATTTTGCAAACTCAGGTCTAATTGCATTTAGACTTTAAGTGGAAGGTGGCGCTCAGTTCACAGAGGCGTTTGGTTTGATTCATGTTGTGTTTTTTAAATGTTGAAATGAATATCAGAAGAGAACACATTTGAAAAGCAAGTTGTATTAGTACATTTTCAGGATGCTATAAAGAACTGCCTGAGATTGGGTAATGTACAAAGGAAGTAGGTTGAATTGACTCACAATTCAGCATGGCTGGGGAGGCCTCAGGAAACTTACAGTCATGGTGGAAGGAGAAGGGGAAACAAGGACGTTCTTCATAAGCATCAGGAAGAAGTGCTGAGCGAAGGGGGAAGAGTCCTGTATAAAACCATCAGATCTCGTGAGAACTCACTCACTATCAGGAGAACAGCATGAGGCAAACTGTCCCCATGATTCCATTACCTCCACCTGGTCTCTCCCTTGACACATGGGGATTATAGGGATTATAATTCAAGATAAGATTTGGGTAGGGACAGAAAACCTAACCGTATCACAAGTATTTTAGCTTTTTATGAAAAATCAGAAACTCTGACAGTGTTGGTCTCCCACTCACTCCGGGCATTTATTATTGGAATGAGGCTGCCTAGTTCAAAGGCACAGATGTTCCACATTTTCCTATAACCCCACCTGGGTATTATTTAACCTACCTACCTGGCCCCTGAAGGCCCTTGAGTTTGTGATGGTTCTTAAGTGAAGAGCTTGATCATTTAAGCCTCCAGCTTAAGAATGATCATAAAACCTGCAGCTTTGTCCAGAAATTCATTAATGTTGTACACAAATTCATGATTTTTAATAGTTACATTTGCCCCTATGAATAGATTTTTCACAATTTTTATATCTATCTTCTGGAGAAGGAACTTTTTGTGCATTAGGAATTATCGGTTAAGGTGTCAACTTTTGATTTTTAAACAATAGAGAAAAATACTTAATAAAAATTGAAGTGTAAAATAGGAAATTGTGTTTCCAATGTGGCCCTGCATGTATAATGTTATGTTGATGGCACTCACAGAACACACAGTCTTACATAGCTAAGAGTCCTGTATGTTTCTTTTCCTGGGCCCCTCTCTTCTCACATAACACATGAGAGAAGGGAGGTGACTGTTTGTTAACTATCACATTCATGTGTTATTCTATACCACAAATAGTAATAGCAGTCACTTTTTGATTACATTTAAAACTAAACTCCAAGGCTGCATAGAATGTGGGTATCTAATCTATTATTATGGTGAGAGTCTCTTGCCTAGTCATACAATTGGCACTACTATTGATATTATCAATGTTAGTTGGGATAACTTGTTAGTGAATGAGCGAACAACAAGATAACAGGCTTAAACAAGATTCAAGTTTATTTTATT